AAAAAAAAGAAAAAGAAAAAAAAAAGAAAAAAATATTTTAGATCAAATTTGATATGGAAGGGAGGCACAAGGGAACAATAAATTAAGTGTTTAAAGTGGAGATTTTTGGAAGTTCTCCCTCACTTATTTTAGGAGAATTTGGGGAGACTTTGGAATATATAATGTTGACAAATGATGTTTAGTCCAGGAGTTCAAGACCAGCCTGGGCAACAAAACAATTCAATCTCAGACCAAACAAGAGGGTGTTGAACGTGTCTAAAGCTATTTTCAGAACATCAAAGACAAGGTTGACCACAGCATACCATTGAGCAGGTGATGTGTTGTGGCTTTCTTCCCAGTTAGACCCTTCAATTCCAGAAGCTTTTTGAGGGACACAGTGATAGTTTGGTTCATGGATTCTCTTCCTTAGCAGGTCAAGTTGAGCATAATAAAAGTCATAATGTCCACAAACTGCAGCTACTTTGGGCCTTTCCATCATTTTTATCTAGCAGATTAAAGAAAAAAAGAATAATGAATTTTTTTAAATGTATAATGTAAATCTACCATTGAAAAATATTTTTTGGTGGTACTGAGGTTTGAACTCAGAGTCTTTCTCTACCTCTACTACTTGAATTACTACTACTACTACTACTCAAGTAGTAGAGTAGCCATGACTCAAGGTCTGGTATTTTGCTACTAGGATTTATTTTAAAATTTAAAGATTAAAAGACTTTAAAATCTATTAAATGAGGAAGATAGTCATCATTTTACAATCTCTCTGTCTCTCTCACTCTCTTTTATTTATTTATTTATTTTTATTTTTTGTCAGTCATGGGGCTTGAACTCAAGGCCTGAGTGCAGTCCCTGAGCTCTTCTGCTCAAAGCCAGGGCTCTACTACTTTGAGCCACAGGGCCACTTCCAGTTTTTTGGTGGTTAAGTGGAGATAAAAATCTCAGGGACTTTTCTGCCCAGGCTGGCTTTGAACACATCTCAGCCACCTAAGTAGCTACAATTACAGGTGTGAGTCACTGATGATCAGCTCATTTTACAATCTCAGTTGTGTATAACCCAAGAAGAACAGCTTCTTTGGGATTTTCTCTGAAGTGCAAGTAGATATGGGTGGTTCCCATGCAGATATATTTATCTCTTCTTTAATAGAAGTTGTTTAAGTGATTAGCAAAGATATCATTTGGTTGATAGTCCTTCTAACTTAATCTACTCTCAAATCTTTCAGCTAATTTTTCTCCTACAGATATGATACAGATTTCTGAATCATGGCAGATTTTTCTGATTTCTTTAGTAGAATTAGTCACATTTTTTCAATAAAAAGCAGTAATATAGACAATAATTTCCAAATCTGTTTACATACCAACATACTTTCTGAAAAAATCCATATATCAAGTAAACATATAGTAAATGGACTTCTAAATGGTCTTGGAATTATACAATGAGCTTTCCTTAAAAATGTGATTCTTTGGGCCAGGCACCAGTGTCTCATGTCTGTGATCTTAGCTACTCAGCTGAGATCTGAAGATTGCTGTTCAAAGCCAGCCTGGGGAAGAAAAGTCTATGAGACTCTTGTCTCCAATTAAGCTTAAAAAAACTGGAAATGAGCTGTTGCTCAAGTGGTATGCTAGCTTTGAGTACAAAAGCTCAAGGAACATTTCCCAGGCCCTGAGATTAAGCCCCAGGACCAGTGACAAAAAAAAAAACCTAGTAATATTTTTTAGGGGGGAGGTCTTTGGATATTGCTCAATAGTAGAGCACTTGTCTAACTTGTGTGAGCCTTTGCATTCAGTCCCAGCACAGTACAATAACAAAGTGGCCAATTTATCATTTATTTACCAGAAGCATTTCATTAGTGTGACCTAAAAGATTCAACATTCCATTAAATAAATTCAATTAACTAAGCACAAAGAATCTAGAAAAAGGTTAATTACTATAGAAAAAATTTTTAAATGCATGCTAATAAAGTAACAGTAAAATAGCAATAATTTTATGATTCAAATGACATGTAGCAATTTAGAGTATGAAATACAGTATGGGGTTTTGGCTTGCTTTGTTTGAAATAGGTTCTTGATATGTAGCCTAGGTTGACTTGGAACTCTCAATCCCCCTGCCTGAACCTTCTGAGTGCTGAGATTAGAGGCATGTATCCCCATACCTACTAATGCAGTGTTTCCTGCCATTGCATTACTCCATCATTCTGTAGAGAAATATTTTTTCTTATATATACAAAAAATTAGAAAATTTTCAGCTATAAAAAGAAAACTTAGCTAGGCTCCAGTAGGTCACTCCTGTAATCTTAACTTCTCAGGATCACTGTTCAAAGCCAGTCCAGGCAAGAAAGTCCATGAGACTTTTATCACCACTTAACTACCAGGAAAATGGAAGTGGCTTGTAGCTCAAAGTGGTAGGGTGCTGTAGCTCAAAGTGGTAGAGCACAGAGACAGGTCCTGGGTTCAAAGCCCATGACAAGAAACAAAGAAGGAAAGAAAAGAAAAAGAAAGAAAGGAAAGAAGGAAGGAAGGAAGGAAGATGAGATGTAGCAATAAAAGTTTTTTTAATAGCAACTAAAATGAAGTAAGAAATGTTCACTTTCATGCATCTCACTAAAGAATGATTTACTATGCCTACAAAACTTATAGACTCCAAATTAATTAGCTTGTACTAATTAGTTTTCAATGAATATATATGGTCAGGTCGGTCTACAAGAGCATAGCACAGCTAAGAAAGAGAGGGGCTTAGCTTGACTTACACATATGGGGTTCTGGGCTCCAGCTGGGGGTCTCCATTCATTTCTATGTAATACATCCTTCTTTTTAGCTGGCACTGATATTTTTGATCGCAGTGGACATTTGCCCTGGAACTTCACTTTCTGTATTTTAGAATCTCATTAAAACAAAATAAAATAACTTCATTTAAAAAATTAGTATTGACACCTGAAAGAGTATCAAAGTAAGCTGCAATGCCAGGCACCGGTAGCTCACACCTATAATCATAGCTACTCAGGAGGCTGAGATCTGAGGATCATGGTTCAAAGCAAGCCTGGGCAGACAAATCCAAGAGACTATTCTCACCAATTAACCTACAAAAACTTGAAGTGGAGGTGTGGCTCGAGTTTTGAGTGGAAAAAGCCAAGCAAAGAGTTTGAGATCCCCAAGTCAAGCTCCAGTGAATACAGGCACAAAAACAAAGAAACAAACCCAAAAATATAAGCTATAAGTCATAACACAGAAAATTTATTTTAGCCAGAAATATTCTGCACACAGAATGAAATACCGCTACGTACTCTCTTTGAATGGAGGAAAACATTTTGTTGAGGGTTCCTTTACATATTGTCGGCAATAAATAACATGACAATATTTTTTTTTGGCAGTACTAGGGTTCAAAATTAGGGCTTCAAATTTGCTAGACAGGAGCCAGATCCCTTGAACCACATCTCTAGCACTAACATTTTATTAAGGGTGGAATTAATATCAATGTTAACAGAAACAAAAAGCATGGGAAAATGGTAAAAGTAAATAGAGTCATGAGAGCTTAGGTTCTGAAATGACATCATGCTTTTTATGTGTGCTTAAACTCAAGGCCTCACACTCTTGTTTGGCTTTATTCATTCAAGCCTGAGCCACACCTCCACTTCTGACATTGTTTTCTAGTTAGTTGGAGACAAGAGTTTCAGAGACTTTCCTGCCCAGGCTGGTTTGGAACCTCAATCTTCAGTCTCCTGATTAGTTAAGATTACATGTGTGAGCACCAGCTTCCCACAAAGTGGCACCATTCTTGTTTCTACATTTTAAAATGTAGGTAGGCCTTCTCACACATTATCCCCATCAAAAATGTGTTCCCATTTTCTGATCTCTCCCACATCAACAATGTGGACAAATATACTTCCTTTCCTGCTGTATTAACCTGCTTTCTAAGCCTTTTCAGTCCATAACAATCACATCAAATCTGGCAAAGAGGCTGACTCATTTTCCTTTTATAATGTTCCCTCCACTTTTCTTTCTCTATCGTGGTGGATGACATTTTGCTAGCACAAATTCCTTGGAGAAATTTTCTCTTCCTGATCCTTTAAGTCCAAGCATTTGGTTATGACTAAACCTTACTGGTCTGATTGCCACTTGGATAGACATAGCTTCTCATTCTTAATATAAGCTCCTGTCTTGCATTCACACTGCACTTGATCCCTTCTGTGGATTCCTGACACCTGACTAATATTGTTCTCTAGACTTACAACTCTCATAAAGCATCATCTGCTTCATTCATGTCTCAATATAATTGTCCTTACATTGCTTTCAAATAGTTCCAAGATTCTAGCCAGCTCCAAGAGAATTCTCAATTACTAGTCCATCCTGTCTATTTCAGAAAGAAGCTGAAACTAATCCTCCTATGTCTGAGCCTTCTTCCAAGAGGTAAGCTTTGATGTAGCCTCCTCAAGCATTTCTACCTGCATGTTGCTTTGTGAACATTTCTTGAGTAAAGAAAACAAAAGCACTATGTCTCCCAGCTTACTCCTGGGCTACCTAAACATCTCAGGCACGTCCCCTAGTGGCCACATGAGCAGTATTTTTCTCCTGCTTACACTGCTTGTGTTTTCTAAGTTTCCAATTCAATAGATTTAGTGGAATTTCCCTGCTAATGTTGCCAGCCATATATTGGACCTTTCTGTGTGAGAGATGCATAATAAGTACTTATTTTTTATGTCAGTTAATGTGTTGACTTTGTCATAAGCTTTGAAACAGGCACATCTAACATGATGAAAACCTGGTCATCATGCTTATGAACTATCAAAGGATCATAACTGCTTTCCTTTTTTCTTTTCTTTTCTCTTTTCCTTTTCTCTCGTTCCTTTCTTTCTTTCCTCCTTTCCTTTACTCTCCTTACTTCTCCTCCCCTTTTTTGCTTTCCCCTTTCTTTCTCTCTTCCTTTTCTTTTCTTCCTTCTTTCTTTTCTTTCTTTCCTTCCTTCCTTCCTTCTTTCCTTCTTTCTTTTCTCTTTTCTTCCTTTCTTCCTTCCTCCCGTCTTTCTTTTCTTTCTTTTTTCTCCTTCCTTCCTTCCTTTCTTTCCTTCTTTCTTTCTCTTCTTCCTTCCTTTCTTTCTTTCTTTCTTTCTTTCTTCCTTCCTTCCTTCCTTCCTTCCTTCTTCCTTCCTTCCTTTCTTTCTTTCTTTCTTTCTTTCTTTCTTCCTTCCTTCCTTCCTTCCTTTCTTTCTTTCTTCCTTTCTTCCTTTCCTCATGCTGAGGATTTAACCAAAGGCCTCTTCTATGGTAAGCAAGTGCTCTACTATTGAGCTACACTCTCAGTTCCTACAAAAGGTATTTTTTGAGTCAGACCAGACCAGGCTGGCCTTGAACTATGATCTTCCTGCCTCAGACTCCCAAATGCTGGGATTACAAACACAGCTACCACAATCGACAAAGAATTGTCATTGCTTTGTGTGTGTGTGTGTGTGTGTGTGTGTGTTGTAATTGAACCAAAATCCTTGTGAATGCTCTGCAAGCAAGCACTCTACCACTTAGCCTTGCCCCTCAAGTTCAATGGAAGTTCTTGGATCGTATAGTCAAATCATTCTTACCGGGGACTATCTTCCTAGAAGGCTGAGAGGCTAAGGATCTTGCTTTATGTAGAAGTGTATGGCTGAATTCTTCTTGAATAACCTAAAACCAAACATACATATCAATGACCTGCCAATCAAAACCTCTGTCAAACACAGTCACTTCAAAACTCACCTCAGGAGTCAAGTATTTAGCAATAAGAATCTCTAAAAAGGGCTTTTTCAAAATGGAATTAACAGATGGTCGATCTCGAGGAGACACCTTAAAGAGCTGAAGTACCAATGACTGTAGATCATGAGAAAACCTTGGTGATATCGGGGCTAATTGTGCTTGACAAATCTTCAGGACCAGCTGGTGTAAGTTGGTACCTTCAAACTGACAGGACAAGAGCAAGGCAATACATTGGAGAAATGTTAAACACTGCTATTAAACCTTAAATAAACGTTCCAAGAAGAAAAAACAACTCATTAATTTATTAGTTTATTACTTCTGTGTGTGTGTGTGTGTGTGTGTATGTCTGTGTCTGTGTCTGTGTCTGTGTCTGTGTGTATGCCTGAACTCAGGGTCTGAACACTGTCCCTTAGCTTTTTCACTCAAGGCTATCTTTCTACCACTTTAGCCACAGCTCCATTTCTGCCTTTTTGGTGGTTAATTGGAGATAAGAGTTTCATAGACTTTCCTATCCAAGCTGACCTTGAACCATGATCCTTAGATCTCAGCTTCCTGAGTAGCTAGGATTACAGGTGTGAGCCACTGGTCCCCGGCTTATTAATACTATTATACTTATTTGTGATGTTGGGAGTCAACACAGGGCCTTACATATCCTAGGCAAGTACTTATCCATTGAGCTACAATTCCTGGCCAGCCTGAGACTGTTTTTAAGCTTCAGAGAGGACTGCATTTTACCCTACAAGGTTGTTATAAGCTAATCTTTCCTAATTAGATACTGCAGGTAGTCACTCATATTGTGCCATGCTAATTGAAACAGGTCTTGTAGTTTTAGATGTTTTTTTCCTTTTGTGTCAGCTGTGGAATCTGGGGTGTTGTTCATGTAAGTGTGTTCTCTATCATTGAGCTCTATCTCTGCCATAGTTTGAATTTTTTGACTAAAAATATTTTCATTCATTTTAATTTTTAATTATTTTTGGGGGGTCCGGTCGTGGGGCCTGAACTCTGGGCCTGAGCACTGTCCCTCAGCTGTTCAGCTCAAGGCTAGCACTCTACCACTTGAGCCACAACGCCACTCCGGCTTTTTTCTTTTTGCTTATGTGTTGCTGAGGAATCGAACCCAGGGCCTCAGGCATGCAAGGCAAGCACTCTACCACTGAGCCACCTTCCCAGCCCTTAATTTTTAATTATTATCAAACTAATATTTACTCACATTTAAAACCTGGAAGGTGTAGGAGGTTATCCTCAGGAGAATATGTTTCCTGTCACTATTTAGAATACTTCCTTCAGTTGAAGGCATACTATTAGGACATTTTATTTCTTCTTTTCAAAAGTTAAACAGAGCTAGGCACAGGTGGCTTGTGCCTGTAACTCTAGTTACTCAGAAAGTTGAAATCTGAGGATCATGGTTCTAAGCCACGTGGTTCTAAGCAGGAAAATATCTGAAACTCTTCTCTACAATTAACCACCAAAAAGCTCAAGGTGAAGGTATGCCTCAAGTAGTAGAATGCCAGCCTTGAATGGAAAAAGCCAAGTGAGAGTGTCAGTTTCTGAGTTCAAGCTCTAGTATAGACATATACACACACAAAAAAGGTTAATAGAATATAAATTGATGGCTTGTTTCTAAAATTCCAGAGGTTTTGCCTAGTGGCCATACTCCAATAAGAGCCACAGGTACTGGGTACTTAATGAGCATTACTTCTGGATGAAATTTTGTACTTAACTTGTTGCTGGAGGATTCAGCATATCCTGGGGGTGGAGGGGGAACACTGTGAAGCATGTGTTTACCTCTGCTAAATGTATATATTATGTATATATATTATAGGCATATATATGCTATATATGTATTTATGTATACTTATAATTATTATATTGTATATATGTTATTTTATATTATTTGGATAGCTATGTCAGGCATATAATTTTATTATTCTTTATTTTGATTAATTAATTTCCAGTAGTAGGGCTTGAGCTCAGGGGCCTCTTAGCTTTCTTGCTAATGGCTGGCATTCTATCATTTGAGCTATACCTTCAGCTTAGCTTTTCACTGGTTAATCAGAGTTGGAGTCTTGAGGACTTTTCTGCCTGGCTGGCTTTGAACCCAATCCTCCTACTTAGCCATGGACACTTAATTTTACCATCCCTTTTGACTGATTATCCATATACTTTTTGCTTTTCTTGTTTAAGACAAGGGTTGTTCTGGGTTTCCCTGGCTTATCTTAAACTCCTGGGCTCAAGTTGAAGCCTCAGACTTCTAAATAGCCAGGGCCATAGGCAATATTCAGCTAGCTAACTGAAGAAAATATTTTCTCTAAGAAGTTAGTTTCACTAAATTGATTTCAATAATTCAAGGTTAATCTGATGATTAACATACTTACAGGATGCCTGAGCGTGCAAAGCTCATATAAAACACAGCCAAGAGACCAAATGTCCCTAGGGAAGAGAAGAGTTTATGTGCCAAGGAAATATCCATAGTTCTTAGTAAACATTTTTGTTTTGCTAATGCCTTGTATGTATGTAGCACTATTTTGTATACGTTGATGAGTTCTCAAAAATGCTTTCAGGCTGGGCACTGGTGGCTCATGTCTATAATCCTAGCTACTCTGGTGGCTGAATTCTGAGGATCATGGTTCAAAGCCAGCCTGGGCAGGAAAGTCTGAGGGACTCTTATCTCCAATTAACCACCAAAAAACTGGAAGTAGAACTGTGGCTCAAAGTGTTAGAACACTAGCCTTGAGCAAAAAAAGAGCCCAGGGATAGTGCCTCGGTCCTGAGTTCAAGCCCCACAACTGACAAAAAAAAAATGCTTTCAGATACATCCAATCAATTCTAAAATAAGAAGTAAAGCAAAGCCTAAATTTCCCCTAAACAAGCATTGTGATCTTCCTATGTATTTATGTTTGGAACTTGTATTTATGTTTGAACTCAGGGCCTCTTACCTCTTGAGTCATGCCCCCAGTCTTTTCTTTGGCATTTGTTTGATAGGGTCTTACTAAATTTTCCCCGAACAAGCATTGTGATCCTATCTCCCTCTCCTGAGTAGCTGGTTTGCCTGAGTGAACCACTGTACTTGACCCATTAGATTTGCTTTTGTCTTTAGAATCAGGTAATACTTCATTTCCATATGATAGGATGAGATTAAAAAAAACACATTAATTAAATTAAAAAAACAGGGCTGGAGCTCAGAGGAAAATCTCAAGGTTGAATCCCTAGCACTACAAAACAAAACCTCTGAAAAAAAAGGCACAAAGAGGAACTTCTCAATGTGATTCATTGTATCTCTAAATGAAAAGGAATTGTTCTGAACAAACTTTGAAAGACTCAAAAACACTGGTCACAGTTAGAAGTCACTAGCGTCCCCCTTCATATATGGAGAAATAAAATTACCAAAAGTAGTAGGAAAACAGAGAGAGAGAGAGAGACAAGATTAGAACTTCAGTCTCTGGACCCATAACTCAACAAATCTGACCTGAAACCAGATTGTACTGACACTTTCAAATGAGTCAGGAACTCACGTTTTATTGTTATATGGTCTATTCTGACAGATCTCCGGGGACAGGTAGTGGGGTGTTCCAACACAAGTTCGAGCAAGTTCCAGGGAGCTAGCAAGTTACATAGAATAATGAGACAGTATGGTTTGTTCTGGAGAAAGACTTCACATGAGAAAAAGTGTAACAAAAATTTAGCTCATTTGCATAAGTATAAAGAGAACACAAAACATTGTACCTCGATAACAGAATAGTAAAAACCAGTAGGTATCTTTAGTTAGTTTTGTTTTGGTGGTACTGGGCTGGGACCCCAGAGCTTCACACATGCTAGCAAGTACTCTACCACTTGAATCACACCTCCAAACCTTTATTGCTCTTGTTACTTTGTTTAAAATTAAATTTTATTTTTTTGTAAAGGTGATATACAGAGGAGTTGTGATTACATAAGTAAGGTAATGAGTACATTTCTTGCTGAACATTGTTACCTCCTCCCTCATTTTCTCCCCACTTTCCTTCCCCCTGACTCCCTCCCCCCACGTTGTAAAGTTAATTTCCAATATAGTGTCTTGTGAGTGTTGTTGTTGCTTACATTGGTTCACTTTGTCCTTTGTCTTACCACTTTGTCATTCTCCTCCCCTTCCCCAAATCAGATAAAGGTATAAATGTATATACAATACACAGGGTACCAAACTCAAATACAGTGACAACAGGAGATATTGGTGTTTTTTTTCTTCTCCCTTTTTTTTTTTTTTGCCAGTACCAGGGCTTGAACTCAGGGCCTAGAGACTGCCCCTGAGCTTATTTGTTCAAGACCACGTGAGCCACTTCTTCACTTCTGTTTTTTGTTTTTGTTTTTTTGCTGGTTAATTGGAGATAACAGTCTTAGGGATTTTTCTGCTTGGGGTGGACTTTGAACCTCAATCCTCAGATCTCAGCCTCCAGAGTACCTAGGATGATAGGCATGAGCCATTGGCACCTGGCCTAAAATTGTTTTCCAAAGCAGTTGCACCAGTGAATTCTGTAGTAAGTATAAACCTGCCCATTCTACTAAATTCCCACAAACTTTGGACATACTCCAGCAACAGCTCCTATTACACAAACTTGGAATCATGTTAACCACCCTTACTTCATTATGCCACAATTTATCTTGATAAGTTTAAACATAGACATATGAGTGAGTTCATACATTTATACACTTACCAAAAATAATGTAGACAATCAAGCTTTTGCTAGCTTCCTCCTTCAAATACCTCAAATGCATACTTGGTTTTAAGTAGGGAAAGAAATGATTGTTGGAAGTACTTACTTATTCAGGACTCTTGCTATACCGAAGTCCCCAAGCTTTGCAACCATTCCATTCTTGCTAAGAAAAATGTTCTAAAATTGGAGGAGAGAAAATGTTACATTACTTGAGATAGTTTGAGAAAGAGGGGGAAAAAAAGATTTTTTTCGGTCTTAGTCCTCACTCTGAGGTGTTACCTGAGCTTTGATGTCCCTGTGTAATATTTTCCTGTCATGAATGTGCTTCAGTCCTAGGGAAATCTGCACGAACCAACCCAGGATCTATAGAGGAAACAGAATCAGCTTGCTAGTCACCAAAATGTCTTTATAAAAACATACAAAAAAGAAGGAAGTGGTATGTGTTGTGTGTATTTATCAGGATGAAGCTAATAAATACACTTCATATTGTTTTTTTAATATAATTTTATTGTGGTTATTAAGGTGTTATACAGAAGCGTTACAGTTTCATAAGTCAGGTAATGAGTACATTTCTTTTTGGATGATATCACTCCTTCCTTCACTTTCCTCCAGTTTCCTCCTCCTGTCCCTATTCACAGATTGCATAGTTCATTTTCCACACAGTGTCTACTGAATACCGAGACTGCATTTGTTCACCCTTCCTCCTTCATGTCTGTGTCCCCACCCCCTAGCCTTTCTTCTAAGGACAAAAAGCAACAACATTAACAAGAAAACTCAAAAGCAAAAACAAAGGACATCTCCTCAATCACCACTACCACCATTACCAACAACAACAAAAACCCATGTTTCCTTCATTTTATAGATAGAAAAATAGAGGTACAGAAAAGCAATCTAAAATAGATATAAAAGAGGATTCATATGCAGAAAAAGACAGACTGAAACAAGGAATAGAGGAGGGCATTTATGACTTCTTTTTCTTGTTCCACTATTGGGGCTTGAACTCAGGGCTTAGGCTCTGTCCTTTATTTTTTTCTGCTCAAGGCCAGTGCTCTACCACTTGAGCCACAGCTCTACATCCTGCTTTTTGGTGGTTAACTGGAAATAAGGGTATCAAGGACTTTTGCTGCCTGAAGTGGCTTCAAGCCATCATCCTCAGATCTTAGCCTCCTGAGTAGCTGGAATTACAAGCACAGGCACCAATGCCCTGCTTAATTTTCTTTATTCTTATTTAACATGAGGTTGCAAACATTCTGCTTGCCTACTATTCTTTCAGCCCCTCCTAACACTGGTGCCTTTAGATTTTCCTTTTCAAGGGATGGAGAATGCCAAGGACAGGAAAAGAAGAGAGAAAGAAGTTATTATTTAAACCAACAAATATTTAATGTTGGGATGGAGGATATAGGTCAATGACAGCACTTGCCTAGCAAGTGCTTGAGTTCTATTCCTGCACAGAAAAATTTCAAAAGTTCATTTTGCTAGGGAATACCAACTTTATTTCTTTGTCATGATCTTATCTTATTTAACTATAAGCTTCTTTATTAAAATATGTTCTATCTTATGGAGATTCACTTAAACTACTCTAACATGCACGGTTCTTTGTCTGACAAACTATACAGAAAGAGGAAAATAATGGAAGAAACAGGCTATATTCCAGACATTAAGATTCAGTTGTCATTTTACTTCTTTCTCAACAAAAGAAAATAGAATTCAAAAATTTTTCATAAAAAGCATTTTTAATAAAATGTGGTAAAATAATAACTAGACAAGAGAAAGGAAAGTTTCTATAAATATGAGTAGAGTTTAATATAGAATGTAAATGAGCATAGAAAAAAATGCTTGATTAAATTCACAGAGGTTAGAGACAGTGGTTCTTTAATCATTCATACAATCAAAATATTCAGCTTTAACCCCAGAAGGAAATTATACAGGTGTAATGCTCTTAAATGCAAAATAGAACAAAAATATATATGGCCTAAAAGAAAGAGGGTGGGTCTTTCCTGTGTGCTGCTTGGGGCAATCGGCTTACCCATCAATCACGAAGGCTCTAATTGGATTCCTCTCTACTTACACATACCTGTGTCCTTTACTGTACAACTCCCAAGAGGACTCCAAAGAAGGATTGGAGTATGGAAGAAAAAATGTTTTGTACAGAGAGAAAAAAAAGGGGAAATGGAGATAATTATCCCCTCTCCATCCTCTCCCCCACCCCCACCCAGCTTTTGTTTTGTTTTTGCAGTGCTAGGGATTGAATTAGAGCCTTTTACGTGTTTAGAATAAACACTCTGCCTGTTTTCACTGTACTTGATGTTGGTATAATTCAGGGAGGTGGACCCATTGTAACAATGAAAGGTGCAAGATGCTATGTCAAAAAAGGAACTTCACAACTTTGGCTGGTGGATGGGAGGCAGGGGGAGGGGAGGGAGTGATGGGAGGGTAGGGATGGTAAGGGGAAACAAAGATTACCTTGCTCATGTAATTGTAACCCCTCTGCATGGTATTTTCATAATAAAAAAACCTTATTTATAATTAAAAAAAGAATAATATGGTCAAAAATGGTTTAGTAAAAGTCATAAAACAATCCTGTACATCTCAAAGGAACAGGAAAATAGAATAAAACTCTGGACCATAAAAGCAAAAAAAAGAAAAAAGAAAACACTCTGCCACCAAGCTACATTCCCAGCTCCTCTCTCCCTCTTAATAACCAATGAAACTGGGGTTTGGGAAGTAGCCTAATAGGAACAAACTTGCCTAACATGCTTAGAGCCTAAGCATTACAAAAGGTTGAAAAAAAATGAATAATAAGAAACAGGAGGAAGAGAAAAGAAAGAGGAGAAAGAAGAAAAAGAGAAAACACAATGCAACTGCTGAGTGTATAGGCACACACCTATAATCCTAGCACTCAAGAGGATTATGAAGGAAGGTCAAGAATTCAAGGCCAGTCTGGAGTACAGGGTGAGATCAGTCTTACCCTGTACCCATGAAATTTAACCAGCAGTGCTAAAAGAATAATCTATCCTCCTTAGCAAAGAAAGAAAAGAGAAAGAAAGAAAGGAAGGAAGGAAGGAAGGAAGGAAGGAGAAAGAAAGAGGAAGAAAGAAAGGAAGGAAGGTAGAAAGAATGATTGATTTTTTTTTTATTGTCAGTACTGGCGTTTGAACTAAGGGCCTGGGTACTGTCCCTTTGCCTTTTTTGCTTAAGGCTAGCACTCTACCACTTGAGCCACAGCACTACTTCAGGCCTTTTTGTTGGTTAATTAGAGATGAGAGTCTCATAGACTTTTCTGTCTGAACTGGCTTCCAAGCCCAATTCTCACATCTCAGCCTCCTGAGTAGCTATAAATATAGTTGTGAGCCACTGGCCCCAGAAGGAAGCTATTTTTAAACACAGTATAATGGTAAAACAAAAAAGAGTGCAGCTTTAAATTTGTCACGTTTAAAATGGCCAAAGTTAGCTGGGTGCCTATGGCTCATGCCTGGGGGTATGACTTTGAACCATCTCAGTGAGACTTTCAGTGAGATTGCTATCCCCACTACACTACAAAAAAGCTGTATAGAGCTGTGGCTCAAGTGGTAGAGTGCTAGCCTTGAGCACAAAAAGCTCAGGGACAGAGCCCAGGTTCTGAGTTCAAGGCCCAGAACCAGCACACACACACACACACACACACACACACACACACACACTCACACACAATTACCAAGGTTGGCTAGGTGCCAGTAGCTCAAACTATAATCCTAGTTACCCAGAGGCTGAGACCCAAGGATCATGGTTCAAAGTCAGCCCAGGTAGGAAGTCCATGATATTCTCCAATAAACTACCAAAAAAAAAAATCCAAATGTGAAGCTGTAGTTCAAATGGTAAGAGTGCTAGTCTTTAGCAAAATAAGCTCAGAGATAGCTCCCAGGCCTTGAGTTCAAGCCCCAGGATCAGCATTAAGTAAATAAATAAAATGGTGAAGGCACATCCACATTTACATCTTTTTCCCTAGATCTAAGCATCAATGTTAGATGCATCTAATAGCTTATCTTTTCTCAAGAAAACAGTCTCAAAGAGAGTTTCTACTTTAGCTCAATTACAAATATATTTCAGACTAAAAAATTCTGGTCCAGTATTTTATGGCTTGAATTTCTCTACCGAAATCATACTTCATATAAATAGTCTCCTGCATATGATGTAAAAATGAATAATCAAATTATAGTGTTTTACCTGCTCTTCACTAAACAACACTCCACGCTGTCTGAGAATCCTTCTCATGAGATCTCCCCCATCGCAGTATTCCATCACAATGAACAGCCTACTGTGCTCTGGAGAAAGAAAAGGCATCATTTGGTGCTAAAGGGATTCAGATGTGTATCAGTCACATGCCTCTCAAATTCTAGAAGGTCGGGAATATAACAGAAATATGCAATGTGGGACAGTTCAAAACACTGGTGTGATGGACTGGGTTTTAATTTTAGTTCACTATTTACTTTTTGTTGGTTTGTCTTGAACCTTTTTATTTTTTTTTATTTTAAAGATACTGTAAAGAGGGGTTACAGTTACATGAGTAATGAGTACATTTCCTTTTGAGCATTGTTACCCCTCCTTTTTGTCCTGTACTTTTGATTCTTCTATCTCAATCTCTTTTTGCATGTTGGGGATTACAAGCATGCATCTCCACATCCAGCTGCCACTTACATCTCTTTTTTTCTCTCTCTCTTTTCTTCCTTCCTTCCTCCCTCCTCCATTCCCTTCCTCCCTTCCTTCCTCCCTCCCTCCCTCCCTCCCTCCCTCCCTTCTTCCCTCCTTCCTTCCTTCCTTCCTTTCTTTCTTCCTTCCTTCCTTCCTTTAAAATAACCAAGGATAAAAGAGCTGGAAATGTGGCTCAAAGTGTTAGGGCATCTACCCAGCAAGCGTGAGGCCCTATGGTCAATCCTCAATACTGTTAAAAATTAAAATGATTTAAAAAAATGTTAAGGATATACAAAGCAACAAAGAAATATCTTATAAATATGTTAGAAACAACAGCAAGGAAAAAAAACCATTTGAGTCCTTATCTTGGGGTTCATTTCACCTAACATCAACTTACCTGACCTTTTCTGCTTGTCTCAGACATATACTAGTTATTACAAATAAGGGAAACCATGGGACCTATGTTCCTTTGGGCCTGGCTTACTTCACTTACTATAATTTTTTCCAAGTCTTTCCATTTCCTAACAAATGGGGCAATGCCATTCTTTCTGATGGAGGCATAGAATTCCATCGTGTATCTATACCACATTTTCTTGATCCATTCATCTACTGAGAGGCATCTGGGTTGGTTCCATATCTTAGCTATGGTAAATAATGCTGCAATAAACATAGTTGTGCTGGTAGCTTTAGTGTGGTCTTGTTTGTGATCATTTGGGTAAATGCCCAAAAGGGGGATTGCTGGGTCATAGGGGAGCTCTATGTGGAGTCTTTTGAGGAACCTCTATACTACTCCCTATTCCCCATGGTATAACCCCTGTTTCCACTGTATTTGATGTTGGTATAATTTGTGGAGGGGAGGGGAAAAAACAAATTGTTTAAATAGGGATACAGGTGGACCCATTGCAACAATGAGATGTATAAGACGTTATGTGGAAAACCAAACTTTACAACTTTGATGTGGGGGTTGGGGGGTAGAGGGGGCAGGGGGGACGGGAGATAGGAAGGGATGGGAAGGGAAAACAAAGGAGGAGGCAACAGTGCTTAATAAGAAATGTACTCATTACCTTGCTCATGTAATTGTAACCCCTCTGTATGGTATTTTCACAATTAAAAAAAAGAAAAAAAAGAGAAAAATGTTAAGGATTAATATAGTCCTAAGGAAGGTACAATCAACTGAGGAGACCCTCAGGTACTATAGGAAGTTGACGATGCTCTAGAGTGGTAAGAACAGAAAGGGTGAGTGAAGTCAGACCTGAGATCCAGAAGGGTTTGGGAGAGACACTTCCTAATATCCGTAATATCTAGAAATCAGATATTTTCAGGAATGCATTGCTGGTGTTATGTTTTTGTAGTTCAGCCATGCAGTGCAGTGATAGCAATTTCAAAGCCACAGGTAACCTAATAAGGGAACTCTTCACTACTAGCCATTTACCTGGCCTTACAGTGCTCCTTCCCTCCCCTTTCCTTCCCTCTTCTCCCCTCTTCTTCTTCCTTTCCCCTTTCCTCTTCCCTCCTCCTCTCCTTGTATCTTATTTTTCTTTCTTTCTTTTTTTTTCCTTTTTTGGCGGTCCGGTCGTGGGGCCTGAACTCTGGGCCTGGGCGCTGTCCCTCAGCTCTTCAGCTCAAGGCTAGTGCTCTACCACTTGAGCCACAGCACCACTTCCGGCTTTTTTCTTTTTGCTTATGTGGTGCTGAGGAATGGAACCCATGGCCTCATGCATGCAAGGCAAGCGCTCTACCACTGAGCCACCTTCCCAGCCCTTTATATTTCATTTTGTAATATTGGTGATTGAACTCAGGGCCTATGCTTGCTAGGCAAGTTCTCTACCATTCAATCCACAGCCTCAGTAATTTTGCTTTTATTTTGATTGTCAGATAGGGTCTTTCACTTTTGCTCAGACTTCCTTGGATCAAGATTCTCCTGCCTCCAACTTTCCATCAGCCATAGGCACCATGCCCAGATTGTTCTTTTTATAACAGGTTCTCACTCACTTTTTGTTCAAGCTGACCAGGAACTATGATCCTCCTGTTTCTGTCTCCTGAGTAACTGCTTAGAATGGTTTTTGGTAGAAGAAATGGAGTGAATCTGGATCAATCACCACAGAGCCATCTCAAAGAAACTATTCTAATATTAGCCAGCATTACCTGGCTCTAAAATAAGCATTTTTCCATTAGTCATCGCTAATGTCATACTTACTGCAATTAGAATTATCTTAAAAAATCATTTGTGCTGTCAAAATTTCCATCTGTTTAAAGTAAGCACTGTAGGAGGGAGTGAAAGACAGGAAAAATAATTCTTGTCCTCAAAGTATTTCTAATCTCAGTGAGAGAAATAAAGAATACTCGTGGACACAATAGTATATTCTAAGTGTCACATAAATGAGAGGGTAGTAAGAGTTTAGGCATACTCAGAGATGGGATAAAGGTTATCACATTAAGTATTCACTCTTAAAGAACGTATAATATCTGAAAATCCACAAGGGAAAAAGGGATAACTCTAGAAAAGGAAGTTAGTTATAAGTCCAGACTTCTGGACTTATAAAGCTTATGGGTCAACTTAGGTTTGATAAAATGCATTAGCTTCCAGTATTATCATCATCGTATAACATTAAGGCATTTGAGGAATAAAAAAAAAATCTGCTACTGTTGCTCTCTAGTTCATTGTACGCTACTCCACATTGACTTCAATTAGGGTTCTATGGAGGATCTGAAATCCCACTTTACGTAATAGCTCGTTTCTGTTTTATGAATTCTGGCAAAAGAAATGAGACTCCTGGGTCCAGGGCAAAAGAGATTACTCCTCTGGACAAAAGAGAAGCCAGAGCTTCAAGTTAACACCTGTCTTTTGTGTCCCTGAAATCCCAGGGAGGTCACAACAGATGAACTCACATGGAACTGGCCCATGGAGTGAGCCAAACCCTGAGCTGGGGGAAACAGCCATCTTTTTAGTGAGCAGTAGACATGCCTGCTTTTTTGTCTTTGAGGGGATGTTAAGCTCATCTTTCAAAGTCCATCACTGTAACTATTTCTGAGAAATGGCCCAATGAGACAATAGTCAAAGGCTTAGCATCCCCAACAAAAAATAAATAGATGTTCAATGTCCATACTAAATCTTCTGTCCCTATAGCCCTCTTGGATGGTCCATTAACACATCAGGCTTTCTCTTACCTTATGCCTTCACAGTGGTTGTTCCTTAGCCTAGAAAATTTTTTGCAAGACATCAGCAGGAACCTCTTCCTCTTTCCTTCAACTCTTTGCTACACCTCCATCATAAAACATATCCTGGCCACCCTATTAAAAATTGCACCCCAAGTCTGCCTTACTACACTTCTTTTCTTTGAGCTTGAACTTCAATTCCATGTGGGCGTGTGTACATGTGCAAATATGCACTGGTACCCAACTGACCTCACACTTTCACATAGCTTTTTTATTTTTGCTCATGGCTGGCACTCTACCACTAGAGCAATGCTTCCAGTCCAGCTGTTTTACTGGTTAATTGGAAACAGAGTCTCTCAGACTTCTGCCTGGGCTGGCTTTGCATCTCAATCATCAAATCTCAGCTTTCTGAGTAGCTAGGATTATAGGCATGAACCACTTGTGCCTGCATCACTTACTTGCTTCAACATACTAAAATAATGTGCTTATTAATGTATGCTGTTTACATTTCTTTTCCATCCCTCTCCATTCTCCTCCACTCAAGACTGTGAACTCCACAGATGGAAAAGGAAGATTTCTAACACATGTGTAACTTTCTCCACAAACATGATAGGATATCACTCTTCCTGATATTCATATTGAGTCAGAAAAAGAAAAGAAAAAAAGATGTGGGCAGGTAGCTAGAGTAGAGGTTCCTGACATGACATAGTGTCTTACTCATTAGGTGGCATAAGTCCCTCTGGCCGATAAGGAAGGCACACCTGCCCACAAGCTCTTTAGTCAGCCTGGGCTCAATGGCATGACCAGCTCCCTGATGGGTAAAGACCTTGCACAAAGGCTTGTGGGGGGAGGAAATGGGGTGAGCAGAGTCTCTTGGGATCCTTCACTGCTGTGGAAGCTTTCCTTTCTATAAAAGCAAACTTCGATGTTCAATACTTGGCTCTCACCTTTCATTGCCAGTGAATTTCATTCTTCAAATTCCTGAAGACAAAAGTCCTCAAACTACGTTTGACCTGAATTTATGTCACTATATTACATAGGAAAGGGATTTTGCTGATGTCATTAAAGTTACTAATCAGCCAATTTGGGATAAGCCAAACAGATTCTCTAGGTGGGCCTAACCCAATCAATCACATGAGACATTTAAATCTGGGACAAGAGGTTAGAGACAGAGGAAGTAAAATATTCCCGATTCTATTAAGGGAGCCATATGACAGGCCCAGAAATTCACTTTTCTGGGCAGAGACACTTTCTAGTTAACAGTTAGCAAGAAAGTGAGGACCTAAATCCTATAATTTCAAGTGAAAGAATTCTGTCATCAGTGTAAGTAAGCTGGGAAGAAGACTGTACCATAGCAATTAAGATAGCCTGGTCTCGAGGCCACACTAAAGCTACTAGTACAACTGTTTATCGTAGCATTATTCACCATAGCTAAGATATGGAACCAACCCAGATGCCCTTCAGTAGATGAATGGATCAAGAAAATGTCACACACACACACACAAACACACACACGCACAATGGAATTCTTTGCTTCCATCAGAAAGAATGACACCGCCCCATTTGTTCGGAAATGGACAGACTTGGGAAAAAAAATCATATTAAGTGAAATAAGCCAGACCCAAAGAAATATAGGTCCCATGGTTTCCCTTATTTGCAATAATTAGTATATGTCTAGGATAATCTTATCCAATGACCAGAAAAGCTCAAAAGCTATGTACATATGACCATATAAGATGATGTTAAGTGAAATAAACCACAAGATATGGACACATGAGTTTTTTCTTTGTTGATTTTGTAATGTACTATGTTATTTTTTCTTTGTTTCTTTTGTATGTTCTTCCTCCTATGGTATATCCCTGTTGTCACTATATTTGATTTTGGTACCTTTTATCTTGTATATACATTTATCTAATTTGGGGAGGGGAAGGGGAATAACAAAATGCTGAAACAAGGATACAAGATGATCTATTGCAACAATGATACTCACAAGACACTATGTTGGAAATGAACCTTACAACTTTGGGGGAGAGTAGGGAAGGTAGAGGAGGGAAGGAATAGTGGGAGAAAAACAAAGGAGGGGATAACAATATACTCATTACTGATATAACTGTAACCTCTCTGTACAGCATCTTTACAAGAAAATAGAATTTTTAAAAAAAGATTAAAAAGCCTGGTTTCAACTATAAGAAACAGCAGAGAAGTCAGCTAAGCTGATGCCAGACTTTAGACTGATGGTCTATAGAAATCAGGAGATCAAACTGGGAAATTGTACAGGGATTGTACAATCCCTGTACAATTTCCCAGTTTTGAACAGAACTCCAAAATCTAGACTATATTTAGCACATAAGAGATAGTTAATAAATATTTATTAATGGAATTGAAATGGAATTCACTTAGCCTTAAGGAAATATCATTATATCCTCTTTTTTTCCTATGTTGCTTCAATCTCATTTTTAAAAATCCCTCATATTTTCATAACCATACATCAGAGCTATGGTTCTTGTGGTCAGAGATGGGCTGTTTCAGACAACAAAGCTGTATTGTTCTCAGTCAGGTGCATCTAAGAGCATGAGGCTTTTGGAAAAGCCTGTGTATCAAGTATCAACAATCTGATAAGCAAACTCAAACTCACTACAATAGCTATTTTTCCTAAACTCAAGAGACCTCTACTTAATAACAACAGCAAAGAATTGTCATTGAAAAGTTAAACTTGGGGCTAGGAAGGTGGCTCAGTTGTAGAGTGCTTGCCTCGCATGCATGAGGCCCTGGATTTGATCCTCAGAACCACATAAGCAGAAAAAGTCGGAAGTGGTGCTGTGGTTCAAGTGGTAGAGTGTTAGCCCTGAGCTGAAGAGCTCAGGCCCAGAGTTCAGGTCCCATGACCAACAAAAAAAAAAAAAAGAAAGAAAAGTTAAACTTATACCATTTTTACACTAAAAAAATGACTTTAGTTGTATAACAGGACTGAGTGTGCTCAAAAGTCCATCTTGCATGGCATAATGACACACTTCATGGTATTGAAGTAGCCCAGTCCATCCACTCACTTAGGAAATAGAGCAGAGAGGTACCACCTACTGAGGATCACTTTGCTGTCTGCATTTCTTATGTGTGGGGTTCAAAGCATCATACCCAGGGCCTCTCATATAATAGGTCAGTGTTCTTTCACTGAGCCGCAGCCTCAGCCCCCAAGGAAGACAAATGTCAAACAAATCTGTCATTATATATAAACTTATATAAATATACATTTATATATTTATTATCAATCATATATAAATAGATGTTCCTAAGTAGGAAAGTGTTGAAGAAGTTAGTTTGAATTGTGAGTTCAGGAAAGGCTTGAGGATGAGTGGGATTTAGCTAGAAAACAATACCCCCCAAAATAAATGAGGAAAGAAAAGTCTTATGATGTTGTTAGGAATCAATGGGAGTGAAGGTCCACTGATAAGGGGCACTCTGTTAAGTTAGTTGCCTTTTGACTTGTTCAAAAGTTGTGTCCCTGAAATCCCATGGAGGCCACAACAGATAAACTCACATGGAACTGGCCCATGAAGTGAGCCAAACCCTGAGCTGGGGAAAACAATCACCTTTTTAATGAGCAGTAGACATGCTTGCTTTCTGTCTTTGAGGGGATGTCAGCTCATCTTTCAAAGTCTATCATTGTAAATATTCCTGAGAAATGGCTCAAGGAGACAGTAGCGAAGGGCTTAGCATCCCTGCTCTGCTCACTGGCAGACCGAAATTTTGAATATATATACATATATATTTTGAATATATATATATATATATATGTATGTATGTATATTGGGTCCGGTTGTGGGCCCTTACCTCTGGGCCTGGGCACTGTCCCTCAGCTCTTCAGCTCAAGGCTAGCGCTCTACCACTTGAGCCACAGATCCACTTCTGGCTTTTTTTCTTTTTGCTTATGTGGTGCTGGGGAATTGAACCAAGGGTCTCATGCATGCAAGGCAAGCGCTCTACCACTGAGCCACCTTCCCAGCCCCAATTTTGAATATTTTTTTCCACTACTATATTCCTAGTACCTAGGATTATGTCTGAGAAATCAGTCAATAAATATGTGAATGAGGAGTCTCTGCCTTTGCTTGTTTGTTCTCTGTCTCTGCCTCTCTTCATCTTCCCTCCTTTTCCCTTTAGGTGGATGGATGGATGGAGAATAGCTGCATTCAGATGTGCAGAGGAGGAGACTTACCCAAAGTTCTTCCCCTCTGTTTTGGCAGTTTGTGTGGTTGTGCATTGACTATTTGCTGTCCCTATACATAAGACGATTATTCAGTCCTACCTGTTGCTACCTGTAGAGTCTCATGTAAAAAGAATATGTACCCCCTCCCATACACACACCCCTACTGAAGCAGAGAGTGTCCTGTCCTGGGATGTCTTCCTCCTCTTTCACAAAACAGCATGCTCTGTATGTGGGTTGTTCCTTCTGCCTGAACTCCAGACTTCAGACCCCAGTCTGCTGACAGCCAGCTTATGATGGGACTGGGAAATAGATATGCATTGTTGTAGATCACTGACACTTGGGAGTTACTACTACTTCAAATATAATACACTAATTATTGACTATTTGAGTGAAAATTAAGGAGAAGAGGAAGAACTTAATAGATAAAAGCTGTCCAGAAAAACTCACTAGATGTGATTCGCTCCTGTAATCCTAGCTGCTCAAAAGGCTGAGATCTAAGGATTTTAGTTCAAAGCCAGCCTGGGCAGGAAAGTTCATGAGACTCTTAACTTCAATTAACCACCAAAAAGCTGGAATTGGAGCTGAGGCTTAAGGTGTAGTGCACTAACTTTGGGCAAAAAATGCTCAGAGAGAGCACCCATGCTTTAAGTTCAAACCCCAGGTCTGGAACAAAAACAAAACATAACAAAAAAGCTTGAAGATAAAGACATCATCTCAGATTATTATTAAAATAACTTGGGAAAATTGAGCACATTTACAAAAATTAATTTATATACAACTCTCATGAACTCTCCTATTTATCAGTATGTCTGTACTCTATTGGAATACTTGGGCAATGTTGGAAAATCTAACCTTGAAATGAGCTGAAGAAGGTGACTATGTTGGGATGTTTCATCTTGGCCAGAAGACTCACTTCTTTTGTTGAAGCTTCTCTTTCTTGCGTGGGCATCTGAATTATATTAAGACATAGTGAAGTTTGGTAAAGATAACTTGCTTTCAGGACCCTACTACCTGTTCACTCCTGACTGAAATTTCCCAAGATATCACTGTGTTCAATGTCACTTCTAAAACTGATCTCTCAAAGGCAGGAAATGACAACACTTTATGTAAGACATGAACATCCAAAGACTTTGGTATGGGGGTAGGGTGAGCACTGGAACCAATACCCCATAAAGACTTCAGGATGACTGTAGATCAACATTCTGTGACTTGGGCTGTATGTGTGTGTGTGTGAGCACATGCATACATATGCCACTAGTTTTCTACCACTTGAGCCACAACACTCCTTACAGCTATTTGGTGGCTAATTGGTGATAAGAGTCTCAGACTTTTGATCTGTGATCCTTAGATCTCCAATATTTTAAGTTTTTAAAAAATAAATCAAAAGCCAGATAAATATTAACAGGAATATTAACAAGAATTTGAACTTAACTTTTACCTTTGCAAAGTTGATCTCTTTTATGACACAGTCCGTGCTGTTGGATTTCTCCTTAGCTAAGTACGCTTTTCCAAAGGCACCTTCCCCAATGACCTTAATCAGATCAAATTTGTCCATGATCTCCACAGGTTTCTGCAATAAGAATAATGAAATTTGACTGCATTCTTCACGATGGCCTCAAGTAAAAAAATTGATGACAGATATGTAAGGGAACTCATTTGCAAGAATTTTCCTTCAGGCTTTCCAAGATAAGCAAATAATTTTCATGTGAACAAGCCAATATAGAAAAAGAGCTTGTTGGTGGGCTTGTTTGCTCACTTTGATATACTTTAGCATTATGACCTTGGGAAAATCATTTAACCTTGACATTTTCCTAATTTCTAAAAATAGAAAAGTTGCTGTGTGGCAAGTTTATTCTGTGAAAGAAACATACACCTCTAATAAAAGGAAACTGCCTCAGGCCATCACAGTCCAGTAGGGAGTTACTGCCCCCTAGGGGGAGGCTTGGGAATTGACTCGGGGTTTATTAAGCACTTCGGGTCTCGGATACAAGCTCAGTCTACAATTATCCCACTTCCCACAAGCTTGAGAAGTCTTTCTATATACTTATATGTGTGGAAGAATTCGTTCAGAATTATCGGCGGCTAGATCTATTTTACATCTAGATCCAAAGTATTTTGTCTACGAGTTTAGCCCTGAATCTGCTGGGAATGCCGCCACATGTAAAACAAACCTTGGCTGAATTTTGGAACTTTACCCAAAGTGGCTTACTGCTTTGAAAAAAATCGCATCCCTACCTTGACCTCCCTTCGGGGTACCGGGGACCTAAGGCGTCAGCCTGTATTTGCCCCCGATCAAGTTCGGTGTTTGCGCAGGCGCGGGCACCAGGCAACTCCACTAACTTCAGGTGTGGCAAAGTCAAGCGCTTGCAAAAGCATACTGTCAGTTGTTTTCCTTCTATTTCGGCTTTAGGCGTACTGAGGACGTGGTACACGTCAGGGTTAAAGGGATAGTCGAGATAAAGGGTTCTGAGAGGGGTGAGTGCGGGCAATCTCGGCTCGAGACGTCCCGCCCCGGTAGCATCACGGGTAGAAGTCCTAGGCTTAGAAGACATCCTCTCTTTGGACTCCGGGGGAGGGGGCGAGGGTGGAGGGGGCGGGGTGGAGACGGTAGGTTGGAAAGCAGAGGGTAGGAACTGAAGCCTGGGTCTGGGAGCTCAGCGTCCAGCGCGTTGCCATGGAGACCAGCGCAGCCCGGGCGGCTGCGCACGGCCCGCGTGCGCTTGCTCCTCCAGCTGGGACTGGGTCGGGTCTCGGCGCCCCCTGCGGCTCCGGGAGCTTGGGGAGTCGCTTGGAGAAGGACTAAGCACACCCTGCCGCTGCCTACCTGCTCCGGCTGGCTGCTAGGGGAGAGCGTAGAGAGTCCCGGAATGATCCAGATTCCCGGGAGGCTGAGTCTCCCGGAGGTCGGGGCGGAGCCGAACATGGGAGCTGGGCGGGCGCTAGACTGGGGCTGGTTGGAGACGCGACAGCAGGGGTCGGTGCTGTACGGCGATCACAGGCCCGGGGACCTGATGTTGGCAGCACCCACTGGAGCGTTGCTCAACAGGAATGTTGCATCCTGCAGGCTCACCCCTGCACCTCCTGTACGTTTTCTGTTATTGACAACGTGCGAGTGAGCTAAACTGGGCAGGAAGCAAGTTTGTTTGGTAGGTTATTATTAGTTAGTATAGTGAAGCTGAGGATGAAATCCATGGGCCATGTGTATGCTAAATAAGCAAGTGCCCTCCCTACCCAGAACGACATGCCAGGTGGAAGCCAGGTTCTTGAGCAAAGTCTCAAATACTGCTGAGAGGTGTGAGACCTGGTCCTCTTGGCTGTAGCTGGCAGCCTTCTCATGGATCTTTTATTTTATTTTTAATGTTTAATTGTTATTAGAAAGGTGGTGTACAGAGAGGTTACAGTTACATAAGTCAAGTAAAGAATGTATTTCTTTTGGGACAGAATCACCCCTTCCCTCTCTCCCAGTTTTTCCCTCCCATCATCCGTGCCCCAAGTTTGTATAATCCATTCTCAACATAGTGTCTAGTGAATTCCACATCATTGGTTCATCTTTGTCCCTCCATTTCAGTGCTTCCTCCTTATCCTCCCAAAGACCTTCGGGTCTTCTTACAAAACTGGTTGCTGTCTGTGGTCTGCAACATGTTCCTCTTCCATTCCCATTCACCGCCCGCACATGAAGCTGCCATACACGTCTTAGTACAAGTTGAAAGGGTCGAAAAGAATATAACATTAAGCAATGGTAAATAGTGACACAAATATAACATATCCAGCTCCACAATCTAAATACCACGTGTAAACAATACATGGAATCTAAATACCACAGTGCTTTCAATACCCGCTATTATCTATGCAAAAATATTTCTAAGAATCAGAAAATATACATTACTCTTTTTTTGAAATCATACCCCCCATTTCAAATAAGGATGTGTTTTCCTGACAGCATTTTATCCACACTGCAATCTTTCTCATATTTGAAAGTTTTATTGATAATCCTGTCATATGCACTGTAAGAAGCAATAAATAGAAATGAATATTTTTTTATTCATAGTATCATAAGTTGTTTTTTGTTCAGTTTGCCTTGAACACTGTGCCTGGCTACTGTCCCTGAGCTCCTTTTGCTGAAGGCCAACCCTTGAGCCACAATGCCATTTCTAGCTTTTTCTGTAATTTAGAGATAAGAGTCTCATGGACTTTCCTGCCTAGATTGGCTTCAAATCACGATCCTCAGATCTCAGCTTCCTGAGTAGATAGGATAACAGGTGTGAACCACCAGTGTCCAGCATAAGCTATTTTTTTCTGTATTGAAATATTAAAATTACTAATGGTGTATAATTAATCAAAGTAAATATCACAGTATTAACATTTAGTAAATATAAAAGCAAAATTATTCCAAGCACTAGTGGCTCACACCTGTAATCCTAGCTACTCAGGAGGCTAAGGTCTAAGGCTCATGGTTCAAAGCGAGTCCAGGCAGGAAACTCCATGAGACTCTTATCTCCAATTAACTATCAAAAAGCTGAAAGTGGACTTGGCTCAGGTGGTAGAAGGCTAGCCTTGAGCTAAAAAGCTCAGAAACAGCACCCAGGCCCTGGGTTCAAGCACTTGAACCAACACATACACACAAATATAATTTCATTACTTAAAAGACCTGAGTGAGGTCCTCTTGCTTCTTTAGACCATTAGTTCTAGTAGCCATAAAAAAATGCTAACTTGTTGCTAAAATGGGCATGATTCGACCTTTTCTTCTTCCATTTTCTCCTTCTCCCCTTTCTTTCTTCTTCTCCCCTTTCTTCTCTTCCTTTCCCTCCTCTTTCTTTTCTTTTCCTTTTTCATTCTCCTTCCTTCCTTCCCTCCTTCCTTCCTTCCTCCCTCCCTTCCTTCCTTTCTTTTTCTTTTTTCCTTTTTTTGTGTGTGTGTGCCAGTCCTGAGGCTTGAACTCAGGGTCTGGACACTGTCCTTGAGCTTTTTTGCTCAAGGATAATGCTCTACCACTTGAACCACAGCTCCATTTCTAGCTTTGTGTGTGTGTGTGTAATTGGAGGTAAGAGTCTCATGGACTTTCCTGCCCTGGCTGGCCTCGAACTGTGACCTCCTTTTGGTTTTGAGATAGACAGGGTTTTACTATTTCTCTCGTTTGCCTCCTACATTCTATTTAGCTCCTGCCTCAGCCTCCTGACTTCTGTGAGTGCAGGTATGAATCATCACACTTTACTTCACTTTCTGTTTTTAAAAGCCACAAGTGCTGACAAATTTTATCCAACTAATAGGAATGAAAGCTTTAAAAAAATGCCTGTCACATTTTGTCTACTTGTATGTTTAGAATCATATAGCAATCACATAGTATCTCCATCAGCAGATAGTTCCATTAGTCTCCTGAAATCATGTTAAAAGTAAAACACCTTGTAATCATGAATTTTTGGGGAGGGATTCTAGGAATTGAACTCAGGGCCTCTTGATTTTTAAGACTCATTCATGTGTTCAATAACTATATATGCATAATTTCATGTTCCCTTTGCTTGATGGTTGGAAATGTTTACACACTGGGGCAATGTTTGGATTCTAGAAAACTAGAGGTATAGAAATTTTGTCTATATGGAAGTTGAATATCCAGAAACATTTAAAATTTCCACACCTTCCTTAACATGAAGAATCTTCAAGGACATAATGAGCTAATATTCAAAGTAATTTTGGAAAATGGTATTTAAATGGCAACAGTGAAGTAGACAATAAGAATACTAATAAATTCTGTACCATAGTTGATCATTTGTGTGTGTGTGTGTGTATACTTGGGTTTGCTTGGGCCTTCTCTTGCTTAAACTTTTTTTTTTTTTAACTGGCCCACAATTTATTTTTTTGTTGGTCATGGGGTTTGAACTCTGGGCCTGGGCGCTGTCCCTCAGCTCTTCAGCTCAAGGCAAGCATTCTACCACTTGAGCCACAGCACCACTTCCGGTTTTCTGGTGGTTTATTGGAGATAGAAGTCTCACGGTCTCTCCTACCAGGGCTGGCTTTGAACCTCGATCCTCAGATCTCAGCCTCCTGAGTAGCTAGGATTATAGGCATGAGCCACCAGCGCCCGGCTTGCTTAAACTTTTTTGTTCAAGGCTGGCACTCTACCACTTGAACCATACCTCCACTACCAGCTTTTTGCTGTTTAATTGGAGGTAAGTATCTTAGATTTATTTGCCAGGGCTGGATTTGAACCTGTTCCTCAACTTATCAGCCTTCTGAGTAGCTAAGATTACAGGCATGAGCCATTTGCACCCAGTCTACTGGTAAATTTAGAGATTTGAATTAATGATTTGGAAACTGACATGTATACTGAACTGAATAACTCAGTGCATGGTACATTTTCAGTTCAAGTTTCTCACTATCAGGGAGAAACGATTCAGAAAAGCAAGGGAGAGGGGCTAGAATGAAATCTGAGGTCCTGGATTAGTCAGAGACTTCAGTGTGAGCCCATGTTTAGCTTAATATACATACAGATGGGAGACACAGAAGTCACCATGGAGCTGTGTGGATACACAGATACACAGTTTAGTATCCATAGAGAGG